CTCTCACTATAGGCCATTTACATTCAGTATAATTACTGATCTTTTAGATTTTGATTATTTTATATTGAAAGCTCCATAATACCATAAGCTTTGCTTTTAATACTCACATGTATTTTAAAGACCTTAAGAAAATACAATCGTCTGTTCTGTCTACTCAGTTATTTGCCACGTCTGCTGTTCTTCCTTCGTGTCTGAAGTACATTTCTCTCTGGTATTATTTCCCCCACATACTAAAGGAATTTCTTCAGCATATCTCTGTAGCAGCAAATTTCTTTAGCATTTCTTTCTCTCGAGATGTTTTTATTTCACCTAAATTCCTGAAGGATGTTTTTCCTGGAAATTTATCCTGTCCTCAAAGCAGCACAGGGTGATGGATATGAAGACCCTCATCCTAGTTCCTCTTCTGTTCCTACAACAAAATTCCTGAAACTAGGGACTGGAGAGATGGCTCAGCAGTTAAGAGCACTGGCTGTTCTTGCAGAGGACCCAGGTTTAATTCCCAGCACTAACATGGTGGCTAACAACTATCTATAACTCTAGTTCCAGGGGATATGATGCCCTCTTCTGACATCTTCAGGCATCGCATGACATGGGTGCGCTTACATACATGCAGGCAATACGCTCATATGCATAAAACAAAAATAATAAATAAATAGATGGATGGATAGATAGATAGATAGATAGATGATAGATAGATAGATAGATAGATAGATAGATAGATAGATAGATAGATAACTGAAGCTAAGTGAGTTGCAAAAAATATGAAGATTTATTTAGCCCATGGTTCTGGAGTTTGGAAAGTTTAAAACCAAATAGTTGTATCTGGCCAATGACATGCTGCCATGGCATATTAGAGAAGGAGAAAGGAAAGTGGGCAAAGTAAAAAAGTGTAACTGCAGGGGACTGGCCTTCCTTTGTAACAACCTGCTCTTACAGTAATATGATCTCCCCATTGAATCCATTCTTTTGAAAGAGGATTTGTCTTTTTGGAGGTGGTACCCCCATTACACTGTAATCATTTCTCTCTCAGCCCACCTCTAAATCTCCCAGCACTGCTCAATGTAAGTACATTAAGGGATCAAGCTTCTGGCATATGGACCTTTGGGGTACAAACCATGTCCAACCCACAACACACTCATTGTCTCCGACTCACTGGGACCTCCTTTCTTGAGTCCCTAGCTAGAGAGAAGGATGTTGTACTTTTTTTTTTAACTTGAATTTAGTTTAATAAAACTTTGTTTCACAGGGATGCTGTACTTTTAATAATGGCTGTTATTTCCATTCTGCATATGTGGAAATCAGCCCATCCCCAAGGCAAAGCCACAAGAGCAAAGAAGAAAAAAATTCCATAAACTTACCCCCTTTATAGCTACTGTTTTTACTTTTCTCCCCACTCTGCATGGTATTGTTTACATTATAGATTCCTCCGGTAGTTGCTTTTTGTACTCTGTCCAGGATTTTCAGCAATTATCAGGAGGGGCGATAGGCTATACTTAGTCTATCCTGGCCAATTCAGGAAATAAAATCATCCTTTTCGATTTACTTAACCCATCCCACATATTAGCAAAATACTTCACTAAATTCTCTTCCATTAATTATCCCTTTTGAAAATGTCATATATGTTCTGTCTGGACCCTGGGAAATACACCTACCTAGTAGATTATACAGCCAGGATTTAAACTTCAGTCAGCCTATCCAATTCTATTGTCTTGATCTCATGAATTTTCACAGTTGCAATGATCTTACACATCATATAATGTCATTCTTCAGGCTTTGCTTAAACACTTCCTTTGAAAAAAATGGAAAATAGCCACTTGGGCAAGTGCAAAAATAAATTATGTTTTTCCTTAAACTGTCATCATTGATGTTGCTTTTGGTATACCAGCCAACTTAGGATGGGAAACTTATTTTATTCCATCCTGAAAAGCTCACAATTATCTGGCAATTTATAGGTTAGATTCAGGATTTATGACCATCAGTCATATTGTAATTCAAAGCCTTCTCCCCCTCCTCCTGGGTCCACTTGGCTTAGAAACATTTACTTTAAAAGGAGGGGAAGGGTGTAACCTGTTCTCTGTCCTCCCACTCTACCCATGGACAATACATTGCATGCTGGTGATGCCTTCAGCAGGAGCCAGAGCCTTCTAGGCAATGGCTCTATTTTCTATCTATGGCTGACATCACTTAACTTTTGAGGTTGGCTGTTTCTTACCCATACAGGGTCATTTAACCACCACAGTCATTTAAAAGGGCACTAAATTGTCTAAAGATACCCATCTGACCATCTTACCCATGTGTATTAGTCACTGTTCTGTTGCTGTGATACAAACAATGACCAAACCAACTCATAAAAGGAAGAGTTTATTTGAGCTTACAGTTCCAGGGGAATTACAGTCCATCATGGTGGAGAGGCATGGAGGCAGGAAGTGGCTGGAGCAGGAGCAGAAGCTAAGCTCTCAGAGCATCTTTAAGTGGGGCACAGGAAGCAAGAGAGCAACTTGAGATCCAGCAAGGCTTAAGAACTCTCTAAGCCTGCCACTGTGACATGCTTCTTCCAGGATAGCCACACCTTCTAAGAACTCCCAAAATAGCGCCACCAACTGGGGACAAAATGTCCAAATACTTGGAGCCTATGGGGGACATTTTCATTCAAACCACCACATCATGCATACTTCTAATGTTATCCTTGTAACTGTTTCTGAGTTGTTTGTACAAGCAAAGGAGTTAGAGAATTGGCAGATTCTCAATGAGGCAGCTTACAACTTTCAAAAGCTAATGTTTCAGCAAGTAACACCTCAAATTGCTTAAAAATGAGCCAGAAGAACAGCCAAGATCTTAAACTGGCCACAAAGCTAAAAGGTAAACTGCTAACAGTAAATACAATTAGGTACACCTTCCAGAACAAAGCTAACTAAACCTAAAAGTAAACTCACAGTAAGCAATTGTCAACTATCTCCTATCCATAACAGCCATTCTGTGCTGGAGATATAGCTGAGTTGGTACAGTTCTGCTATCTTAATTCCAGCCTCCATCACTTTGTACAGTTACAATTGGTTTTTTTATTGGTCTATTACTCTGAACCTCTTCCCCATGTACACTGCCTCAGAGCTATCTTCCTCATAATGTGAGCAGGTTCATCCTCTGCTTCGAAATATTTGATAAGCCCCACTCTTGAGCAAAGAAAATAAACAAAATTTCTGTTTCCTATGCAAAGAGAATAAGCTGTAATTAATAGGAATCTTGGAAGAATCTTGAGTCATTGACTTTTAGATTTTGCTTAGTTAGGGACTGTGTTGCAAATCCCTTCTCTGTTGATAACAAAAGCTGTAAGAAAAAGATTATCAGTTAAAGAACTTAAACAGAGATCCTGTTTGTTAGCTTATCAAACCGTGTGAAGATCTAAAGCAAGATTAAATTGCTCATGCTCTATCTATTCAGTGTCCTCAGTGACAGATTTTTCTTGAGTTTTCCTGCCATTTGCAAGAGATAAGAATTCCTTTGCTGTCACACTGTTTTATTACCCATATAAAGAGCAGATCATTATGTTTGTCAAGATTACTTGGGTAGATGATCATAAATCACAATTAAAATTTGCTTAAGAGATAATAAAGGTTCATAAATTTCACATGTTATTAATTATCCTATTTAAAGTAGCAGACCTCTAGGGGTTTACCCTTTTTCTTATCACCATCTAACATTATATTTCTGTATTTTCTGTCTCTACCAGAAAGTAAATGCCTTAAAACATGTTTTAATTACTAGTCATCCCTACCACAGTGCTTGGTTCAAAGTAAACTCCCAGTAAGCATTTGTTTAACAAATAGAGCAATAGTGAAAAAAAATGGAACAGAAAAAAGAAAGAAAAAAACCTCCCTCCTTTATACAAAAAAAACGGCCCTTACGTTAATTACTCCCCACCAAAGCATTTTAATAGTGCTCACAAAAACTCTTGGGTAACAGGTAGAGCGGCTTGTACACGCTCTATTACACAGGTATGGACTGAAGCTACAAAAAAATACCATGGAGAAGTCACAAGGCAACAAGAAAAAACAAAACAAAACAAAAAAACCTCCCTCCTTTATACAAAAAAAACGGCCCTTACGTTAATTACTCCCCACCAAAGCATTTTAATAGTGCTCACAAAAACTCTTGGGTAACAGGTAGAGCGGCTTGTACACGCTCTATTACACAGGTATGGACTGAAGCTACAAAAAAATACCATGGAGAAGTCACAAGGCAACAAGAAAAAACAAAACAAAACAAAAAAAAAAAAAAACAAAAAAAAAAACCAAAAAAAAAAACTCTAGCTTTCGCCAAATTTTAATGTCAACCCATTTCGGGATGGCTCAGCTCAAAAACTGCCACATTTGGTAAGACTGTTTTCATGGCCGTCAGCAACAAGTACTTTCAATTGTAACACTCTTCTCCGAATTTCTAACTTGTATCTGCCTAGAGTGAAAGATTCTAAACCAAGCAGGCAGCAACGTTGCCCAGAGCTAAGATGGCTGTGGCGGCTTCTCAGCCCTCACCCAAAATGGACGCTGACTGTGACGTTCCGACCACAAACCTCCAACCTTGGTCCCGCCCCCAAGGGCCAAAGCCCCGCCGTCCCCGCTGTGCCCGCCCTTCCGTCAGAGACCTGCTCCTGATTGGCTGTTTGTACTATTTACCTTTCGTCCGGATGTTGCGTCACGCAGTGAGGCGGGCGGTCGCCGTGAGAAGTGGATAGAGGGAGGTTGCGCCTTCGCGGTTTCTGAAGCCGCGAAGGGAGCTTCGTGGTGGAGGGCCCCGGAGCTGAGGTACGTCCCTCGGGACGGCTGAGAACCTGCGGGCGGCGGGGCCCAGTGAGGCCGGCCGTGGGGCTGGGTGGAAGGCCGCGCTCGCCTGCGCCCCTCGGACTGGGGCCTGCTGAGTTGCGCAGTTGGGAAGCGCCGCCCCGGGTGAGGCCGGTGTGGGCGGTGCGTTGACCGGGAGGCTGGGGGCTTGCTGCCCTGCTCTCATCGAGGCCAGTGGGCTGGAGAAGGACCGGCCCGAGCAGAGTGAGCACGAAAGCGCTATGGAGGAGTCGGCAGAAGCTGATTCCGAGCTAGCCGGGTACCGGTTTTAGAGGTCCAGACTCGCTTCCTGAATGTGGCAGATAATCGCCTTGCGTGTTAGGCGACACAGAGACCACTCTGACCTGGACGTCCTGGGTCGATAGGCTGAGAAAGCTACAGGATAAGATGATGTAATGGCATGAAAGTACCAGAAGGGCTCTCGGTATGTTCCCCAAGGTCAGATGCCCAGACTTATCTGCGCTTCTTAGTTCCTGGGGAAGGACACGCAAGTATTTTGATACAAGAGTGCTTAGCTTTAGGGGTCCTAATTAAAGCTCATTTCTGGTCCCATTCCTGGAGATCTACATTTTAAATTAAATCTTGGGCGATTTCAGAGTCCCAAGGCACTGTCATCAAAACACTGTTTTGATCAGTTTTTTTTATATTACAATGGAGATGATGGGTTCAGGAGGTAGTCACTTGCCTAGAAAATTCATCACAAATCGTTGATACAGATGTGCTTTCGGTTTTATAGAAAGACAATCGCTTAACCATTTATCTGATACAATCTTCTTGGAATTGAGACAATTCCAATTTTAATATGCTTTTCTACTGAGGACACCACTGAAGAAATCTAACATTAGAGAAACTTTATTGGTCAGTTGTTTTCTTAGATTGTCCTTTATGTAGTTATGGAGTAAGTTAACGTTAATGTCACTGTCTTATCTTAAATGGAAGTAATACTTGACCTATTTACTTGAAACTTACATGTTTCATCTCTGTTGATGGCATTTGGCCTTGTACAGTGTAACCTTGAATGGTTGTTCATCTCTTCGTGGGCTGACATTTTTCCTGTGCTTTTCTTATTAACTTTTCTTATTGAATGACAGTATAAATCTTAAAGTCGAAATCAAAATTGTAAAAGCTGTCAGACCCTTTAGTTATGTCACATGTAACATTGTGTTACATGTAACTCTATCCCAAACTGGGTCCTGCCAGATGAGTTTCATGAAGTAGAGGTTCAAACCAGGATTCAAAATTGAAAATAAAAGACATCACTTTATTCCAGTTTTTTCTACTGAAACTTAATTTGTTCTATTCTCTGACTACTGTATGCCTTGCCCTTAATTAAGGGGTTTGGTTTTTAGTTTGCTTGTTTGTTTTTTCTTTCTAACCAGCATTTCAGATCTGCTTAGCAAACCCGGTACATCACCATGTTAGCTGCCAGGTTTGTGTGTCTCCGGACACTACCTTCTAGGGTTTTCCACCCCACTTTCACCAAGGCCTCCCCAGTTGTGAAGAATTCCATCACGAAGAATCAGTGGCTCTTAACACCCAGCAGGGTAAGGATAATTGGAAAGATTTTATATTGTGCCCACCTCTGCCCAGTTTGATTTCTGCATTTAGGAGGGATTGGGGGCGCGGGATTACAGTCTGGGTTTTTCTACCTGGCAGTGGCAAAGTTTGCTGCCTGAAATACAGTGGTTTGCTAAAACTGTAACAGTAGTCTCTAGTCAGCTTTCTTCCCATCAATCTGATCCCTCCTTATCACAAGTGAGAGAGTTCTTATAACTGTTTAACTTGTAGTTCTTGGGTTTTCTCACTCAGAAAATTGAGAGTAAACATGGAGGAATTGAGTCACATGGTACAACACAAAGCTTGGGCATGGGACCAATAGTCAAATGCTTAAGAACCCATAGATACTACCAGTTGGCCAACAGAGTTACTAAAGATACTGTTTCAGCTTTTGCTTAAAGAATGAGAAAATCTGTCAGGTTAGAGAGAAAGGCTCATTTCCTTTGGCAACAAACACCTTTTTCTTTTGAGACAGGGTATTACTCTATAGAAAAGATTACTTTCCAGCTGGTGGTCCTGCCTCCTGCTCTCAGGTTCTGAGATCACGCACAAATACCACCATGGCCCACGAACAGATTTGTCTTCTAGTTTTTAAATGAGGAGGAATGCAAGTTATTGAGTGTAATGTAATTAAGAGACTATACAGTAGCCAGAAGGAGGCAGCATTTTACCTCTTAAGTTTAACTCTTCTACCACTGGAAAAGACTTGTCTTCCTTTGGCTTCATGTTCAAGAGATCTTGATTGAGTTTATTGAACTTTAAGAAGTCTGTAAAGCCTGGGGATGCAGCTCAGCCATGCTGTCGGTCTGAATGGTAAATGTCTCTGTGTATGTATCAGGAATATGCCACCAAGACAAGAGTTGGGATCCGCCGTGGGAAAACTGTCCAAGACCTGAAAGAGGCAGCTTTGGAGCCATCCATGGAAAAAATATTCAAAAGTAGGTGAAAGTCTTCAGTGTTTAAAGTGTGTATGTGTGTGTTTTGTTTTTGTTTTGTTTTGTTTTTGAGGCAGGATCTCACTATGCATCCCTGGCTAGCCTAGAACTTCATTCATAGACCATACTGGCCTTGATTTCACAAAGATCCACCTGCCTCTCCCTTCCAAATACATGTGTGCCATTACACCTGACCCATGGATGTTTTAAAAAGGCCATAAACAGCTTCCTAAAAAATGTTTTCAAGTGTATATATGTCTTTTCTGGAATAAAGACTACATTTCTATTCTCAGGGATCTGATAACCTGAAAAAAGACTGGTACTTTGCACTGGGTTCAGTGCTTCCTAGTTTGTTTCACCTTTTTTATTTGCTTTGTTTTAAGACAGTGTCTCCCTGAAGCCTCCTTTAGACTGGAACTCCCTATGTATACCAGGCTGGCCCTGATCTCTTAGAGATCTGTCTGCCTTTGCCTCCTGAGTGCTGGGATTTAAAGATGTGCTCCACCATACAAAGAGCATTATCTTAATGAAGTCATTTTGATTCATAGTTTGGAGTTCAGCATTTGCAGAATCTGAAACCAGACTGTTAATCTTCCCGATGCTATTTAGAAAACATTACTGCTCCTTAACAGTCTTGGGAAATGCCAGTGTATTATGGTGGGGGAGAGTCCTAATCAGTATCACCCACTGCACTTCTTTTTGATTACAGAGTTGACCACAGAGAACAAATCATGAAATTCCCAGTAACATTCTTTGTGAACAAATTTAGATTGAAGGGGAGTAAGATGTTCTTAATGAGTACCAGTCTCTGTCTTAACTCATATAAAGCTTCATCTTGGTTAGTACCACTTTAGGCACAGGATGGAATGGCTGTTAACATTTATTTTATTTTTATTTATTCATTTACTTTGAGACATGGTCTTGTTGTGTAGTTCAGGCTAATCTCAGATTTTGTACATCAGTCTCTCAAGTACTAGCATTACAGCTGTGTATCACCATGCCAAGCTGGTCCTTTATTTTTTGAAGTGATTATTGCACCTTTGTTTAAGGAGAGTCAATTTCTTCTGGTTTCCTAATGTTGAGGACATCTCTGTGCCCCCCATCTGACTACTGTGAAGAAACATGGTCTATGATTTGATCTCCTCATAAATATCTTAAATCCTTATCGCCAACATGAAATGTGCCAATTCCAGCCTGAGTTTCCTCTGTTTTGCAGTTGATCAGATGGGAAGGTGGTTTGTTGCTGGAGGAGCTGCTGCTGGTCTTGGAGCACTGTGCTACTATGGCTTGGGAATGTCTAATGAGATTGGAGCTATTGAAAAGGCTGTGTAAGTAAATTGTTCTCAGTTCCAAAACCCTTTCTTCAAACTAAGGGTTTATTATTGTTTATTCATTTTTGGTTTAGGTTTTTTCCATTCTTTAGTTTGTAGTCACTTTTGGAGCATCCTGTCTAGTCTTCATTTGTGAATTGTAGAATATATAGTGCATCTCTTCTTGTCTCGTTGGTGTAGATTTATTTGAGCCTAAATAAACTAGCCTAGAACTCGCTATGTAGACCAGGCTGGTCTCGAACTCAGAGATCGTCCTGTCTCTGCCTCCCAAGTGCTGGGATTAAAGACATGCATCACCATGCCTGGCCCTTAAGTAAACATCTTTTACCAAGGCTGTGTATTCAAGCAAGAAGAAAATTGTTGATTTTTACATGCATGAAATGCATAGGCTTTGTCACTTAATCTTTATAGCAAACTCCAAGATGTACATAATTATTTCCATGACAAAAGAAATAAGATTGAGAACATTAAAGTGATATATCCCAAGGTCATTAGCTAATGAATGATTTAAGCAGAATTAATACCCATCATTCTATAATTTAACCCTGTCATGTTTCTTACAGAATTTGGCCTCAGTATGTGAAGGATAGAATTCATTCTACTTACATGTACTTAGCAGGAAGTATTGGTTTAACAGCTTTGTCTGCCTTGGCAGTAACCAGAACACCCGTTCTCATGAACTTCATGATGAGAGGCTCTTGGGTGGTAAGTCAGTTACTTGCCATTTTTGTGGGGGAGGTGGTGCTGGGTGTTTGTTTCCTTTTTGTGTAAATATCAAAAGATTTAATAGGGCCCAGAATATACATCAGTGGTAAAGAAATTGCCTAGCATGTGTTGAGCCCTAGCCTCAGTCCCTGGTACTAAGAAGAAAAAATATTTGATGACATATATTGGGAGGAAGGGAGAAGAGATATAATGGAAGAATACTGTGTTCTTTGTCGAATGTATATTTTAATAGGACCAAAGGTGTTAGAAATGAAATTTAGGACCAACCTTCTTATCTAGCAGCAAATAACAAGCAATCTCTGTTTGGTACATTACTACAAAATACATGCAAAACTACCTTGCAAATCAGTAGAAAATGCCTGTCCCAGACCCAAAGCAGTCTATCCTGGTGCTATTCCTGTTACTCCTCGGCTTCTTGCCCTTATGTAAGGTTTTCTATTCGATGACCATTTCTCTCTTTTTTGTGTGTATTTTTATTGAATTTTTGTGTAATTCATATACAACATCTTAATCATCTTTATACCCCCTTCCCCATTGGCACCCTCCCTTCCCCCCACACTGGATTTCGTACATTCTTGCATTCTGTCATTTACGTTAAGGCCTGTCAAGTCAAGTTAGTAAACCAGACATTCCTCAATGCAAGTTCATCACTGGGATTTAGTCAGCCTGTCTAGAGTCACTCCCTTAAAGGTCAGCTCTTCCTCACCCAGCCAGTAATCAGCTGCCAGTAGTTCTTTGACTAAGATTGGGGCCTGCTGCCCATTTCCCCAGTTCTACACTGGGTTTTTGTCTTGAGTTTGCATGGGTTTGTGCATGGTGTCACCATTGCTGTAGGTTCATATGAGCAAGGCCCCTGGAGCCTATAAAATTGTTTCCATATAGTCACACACCTCCTCCTCTGACTTGTTAACAGTCTTTCTGCCCCCTCTTCCACAATGGTCCCTGAGTCCTGGGTGGGTAAAGTTTAATACAGGAGTCCTGTCCAGGGACCCACACCCTATAATTTGCCCATTTGTGCCCCTTTGTGTGCATTGCCCTCTGTTGCCTGAGGGAGTTGATGAGATGCATTAGTATTCTCTCTACCTCTTGTTTCACTGTGTTCTATGAGACTTAAGTGTTCCATTGTAGATGTGTCACTTAGAGTTGGGCACTTCAGAGACACTTAATCTCTGTGTTTGACCAGTAGTGGAACTCTGTAATAGGCTCCGTTTGTTGCAAAAGAAGCATCTTTGGTGAGGGGTGCCTGTAAATGTAAGGATCCATATTTAGCACATACTCAGAAATTACATTTGTCTAGGGTTGTCACAGCCTTGGGATTTTCTCTAATATCTATGACCTCTCCAGCCATGTGTCTTTGGCTGTATTTACAGTACCACACATGAGTTCCCTCCCATCAATGATTATTTCTTGAATACTTGTTTATTTTGCCTGCTAACACAGTGTGATTTCAGGTGTGGGCCCTGTTTTCCTGCTGTCTGGTAGAAGATATCTAGAGTGAACAGTATGGGATGTGCATTAAGAAGTAGAAAGTGGAAAGTCAGCTTAAATACAGACAGTCCTATGTTGGTATCTAACGTCTTATTTTGGAAGAGAACATTGTCCAGTTTTACCAAACAGCCTGATTAAGGAGAACATCTAGGAAAACTGAGTTCTAAAACTGGCTAACAACCCCATTAGAGGGACATTTCATGTGTTTGAGGTCTGAAGACATGGTTAGCTTTAGAAGGATATGTTTAATTTTTAAACCAAAATGAAATACCTGCACAGACCAGTGAAGAAATTGGAATGGCAAAAAACATGTGATTTCTGTTTGGGTATTAAGAATGAATGTGGAAGAGGCATGAAGGAGGTAGACCAGCTGTGCCTTGTGAGGTCTGAAATGACGGATAATATGAACCACAGCAATGAGTGTGAGGTTGGCGAGCAGAGAGACAAGAAAGCCATGTACAGTGCTTTACTGTCAAGTCAATGGTGTTTCCACTACACTGTGTTTTCTATGAGGAGCATTATTTAGAATTACAGTCCAGGAACTGTGCTCATAGATGGGTGTCTTGAATTTCCCAGACTAGCAGTTCATGAAGGTAAAGAATAAAGCAAGGCGAGTACTCACTGGAAAGTCAGTTTGAATCAGAGGCAAATAATTCTAAAAGATTTATAGTGTAATCAAACAAACAGGACAGTATAATGAAAGATTCAAATGTACATAAATTTCAAGCCTTAAAATAAGGTCCCAAAACTGCAAAGATGTTTTGTAATGAGGACCATAGCCTCAATGTGGCAAAAGACCACTCTCCTCTACTATTAAGAATAATAAAGAAACATAGTTGGTGTCAGGTGTGGTGGCGCACACCTTTAATGCCAGCAATTGGGAGGTAGAGGCAGAGGCAGATCACTTTGAGATTGAGACCAGCCTGGTCTGTATGATGGGTTCCAGGCCTGCTGGGGCTACAGAGAGACTCTGTCTCAAAAAAATCAAGAAGAAGAAAAATAGTTGGGAAAGCCAGACAGATGCTCCAGAAATGAAGATGGAACTTTTGGGGATGGTACAGATAGAAAGGCAGGAAGGCAGAGTTCGTCTCATGCTTCAGAACAGGAGAAACAGCTGCCGCTTCTTGTGGGCAAAGCATCTACCAGAAAAAGCTTCTGAGACAAGCTTTGTAAGTCATTATAGCAAGGAGGGTTGTTTTTATCTTTTTATTGTGTGTGTGTATGATATGTACATGTGGGCATCCATGCTTTACGTCAAGTTGAACATTCTGATGCCAGTGGGTCAAACAAATAGAGATGAGTGGAGGAGGCTTGGTAAGCCATGTTGGGGATTCTTGGCATGGAAAACCAACTTGTTTTTAAGAGTAGTTGACCAGAGAATGTCTGCTGCCTGGTCCTAAGGCTGCAACAGTTAGCAACCTCTGCCTTAGTTTTCTTGAGTATTATCACTGCTTTCCATTCTATATGCTCTTTTCAAGCACAGTATTTAAATGTCACAACCTTGGAAACCTAAGGTAGGCAAAGAAAAGGATGTGGACCAGGTCAGCCACAAACCTGGACACAGAAATGTAGGTGTTCTCAAGTCTTTCCATGTGCTAGAAGTAATGTTTATGTTTTGGTTTGGGGGTTTTTGAATAGCAAATGAGGAATTCAAGGCCACATACACTTTTTTTAAATTAGATCGTGACTGATTTTAAATTTATAAACTTTTGGGGTTGTATCAGTTTGTATTTTAAACAATAATTATCTTAAGATTTCTCCCAGGACTTTGTTTCATCTCTGTCTCCAAGAATAAAATTGCTAGAAGATGAAAAGCTCTGCACCTGTAAGGCAGTAGAGGGCACTCTTGCTGATGCAGCCAGAATTGACATCATCCCAGTGCCTTAAATGTACTAGAAACATATGCGATTCAGTTTATTATCCTTCATCTTTTCAAAACTGGTATTTTAGGAGTGAGTTGGTGCTTGGAACTTGTGGGTTTTCTACTTTAAGAATCTATTTTTCTTAATGTGTGTCTTTCAGACAATTGGTGCAACCTTTGCAGCCATGATTGGAGCTGGGATGATGGTCCAGTCAATACCTTATGATGAGAGTCCAGGCCCAAAGCATCTTGCTTGGATGCTGCATTCTGGTATGTTTTGTTTCAAATTGTTAACAAACGACCTTGAAGTTACACACTTTCCTGTTTGCTATTTGTTCCGTTTGGTTAATTTTGTTCATTATTTTAGACAGGGTCCTGCTATATAATCCCAAGCTGTTCTCCAACTTGCTATCTTCCTGCCTTAGTCCCTTGACACATCTGGCTTATATTGACCTTTTTTAGTGGCTCTTCAAAGTTGAAAATGACTTGTGAATCCTCACATTTAGAAAACACAGTTTTATGCAATCATTGCTGTTGCATTAGTGCCAGACCTTTGCTTTGAAGGGCTGATACTAAGATTGAACATCTCTAGTATTGAAACTGTCTCCTAGTGCTTTGTCCAGTACCAGGAGGATTTATAGTGTGATGCCTCTTACTTGAAAGTTACTTTGCTTGATTTCTGAAGAAAAGAAGAAGGGGGAGGGGGCGGACTCTTGAGGGTAGGGAAAGTTTTAAACTTTCCTGCCAGTTGCAAAACTGATGGAGGAAATTTAATAGAAATGTCATATGTAAAGAATTTTACCCAGTATTCTCCCTAGAACAAAATATTCTAAATTACACTTCATGAAATCCAGTGTACCTTGTTACTTGCTATACAAATGTTAGTCCTGTACAAGAGACACTAGTATTGAAAGTCAGGATGAAGAGAGCTGTGGTTGTGCTATATGGTGAACAGTTAAAGAGCCAAGAGGCCAGCAAGATGACTCAGACAAAGGTGCTTGCTGTACTATCTTGCTGATATGTATTTAATCCCCTAATCCCGTGTAAAGGTAGAAGAAAATTGATTCTGCAAAATTTTCCTCTGACCGCCACATACACATGCCATGGCGTGACCACCCCCAACATCTCTCTCACTCTCTCTCTCTCACACACACACACGCACACACACACACACACACACACACACATAATGATTAATTGAAAGTGAGAACAGAGCCATATCTGCTGGCAGAGGCCTAGGATATCAGCTACCCAGGAGGCTGAGACAGAAGGGTTGGAAGTTTAAGGTCAGTGTGGACGACAAAGTAAGTTCAAGGCCAGCCTAGGTAACATAGCAAGACTATCTCAAAATAAAAAAACAGGCCGGGGATGTAGCTCGATGGTAGAAGGCTCGCCAAGCATCCTGCACAAGGCACTGGGTTGATCCCCAGTTACCATGAGAAAAAAAGGATGTGCGGCCTTTACATTATTTCTGTAATATCTGACAGCTAAAGTTACTTTTTATAAGCTGTGATAGCTTTCTCTATTACCAGTATCTGTCCTGGAAGCTCCTACATTTATCATTGTACACTTTTCCTTTCTTCCCTTTTGACAGTGGTAGGTTTGACCTTTAGCTATTTAATTTTCTATCAGTTCTCTCTTGTATAATTGTGAAAACTAGAGGTGGTCTCAGATTCAAATGCTGAGCTATATAGAATTTTACAAAGTCACTAATAATATAGGTTAGTATTTGTGTTTGAATTTTAACAGTGGTGTTCATGTGACAGAATTTGGATAGCCAGAGGTTTTGGTTGTATAGTTAGGACAATAGGGTGGGTGGTATCAAGGTAGAATTTACTGTACATTGTTTAACATAAGTAGAGTGTTGGGATGACCTTCACTGTGGCATCTTTGTCTATTTAGTACATATTTAATAAGCCCTTACTCTTTCCTCAGGTGTGATGGGTGCAGTGGTGGCTCCTCTGACCATCTTAGGGGGGCCTCTTCTCCTCAGAGCTGCATGGTACACCGCTGGCATTGTGGGAGGCCTCTCTACAGTAGCCATGTGTGCACCCAGTGAGAAGTTTCTGAACATGGGAGCACCCTTAGGAGTGGGCCTGGGCCTTGTCTTTGTGTCCTCCCTGGGTAAGCGCTGTGCTTCTTACTTAGTTCTGCATTCTTATGTACTCAGGTACCGTAAATCATTAGGGGGCATGTTTAAAAATGCATGCTAATTTGAGTAAATTTTATAATTTGACATCATAAAAGTTTCTCATTTGGTTAACTTTTTTTTAATATTTGTTTTTATTTGGTGTGTCTGAGTGTATTGCCTACACGTGCAGTGACCACAGAGGTCAGAAGAGGACATTGGATCCCCTGGTACTGGAGTTATGGACAGTTGTCAGCCGCCATGTGGATGCTGGGAATCAAACCTGGGTCTTCTGAAAGAGCAGCCAGTGCTCTTAACCACTGAGCCATCTCTCCAGCCCCAGCATTTGGTTAACTATTATTCTTTTTACTAAATACCTCTGAAATGATCAAGAGGGCTTGAAAATGGCTGTTGCCTTTCCATAATATGGGCAAGCAAACCACTGGAGGAATGACTACCAGGGCCTTGACCCGATAGCAATAAAATCAGATAAACACATACTCAGATATCACCTGCACAGAGAGTTTTACATCGTGTAAATTATAAACCCAGTTAGAGGAAATCCCTTTTTTTTAATTAAAAGAAAATAAGTCCTGATTTTTCTTGTTTTGATTTCAGGGTCTATGTTTCTCCCACCTTCCACTGTGGCTGGTGCTACTCTGTACTCGGTGGCCATGTATGGAGGATTAGTTCTTTTCAGCATGTTCCTTCTGTATGATACTCAGAAAGTAATCAGGCGTGCAGAAATAACACCAGTGTATGGAGTTCAGAAGTACGATCCCATCAACTCGTAAGTAATCCTTCCTGCCAGTGCTGTGTTACATGGGCATGTTTGCTAGCATGCTCAGCTTTGTTCTGTTTACTGTGTAGGCTGCCACCATATTCATCAGGATAGATGGCTTAACATTCCATCTATCCTCCCTGGGTAAGCCACTGTGCTTCTTACTTAGTTCTGCATTCTAATGTACTCAGGTACCGTAAATTATTAGGGGGCATGTTTAAAATTGTCTTTAAAATGCATGCTAATTTGAGTAAATTTTATAATTTGACATCATAAAAATTTCTCATTTGGTTAACTTTTTTTAATATTTATTTTTATTTTGTGTGTCTGAGTGTATTGCCTACATGTGTAGTGACCTACATTCGCTCTCAAAGTTCAGGAGTCCAGGAGCACTAACCCGAGGTGTCAGGGAGTCCAGGAGCACTAACTCAAGGTGTTGGGGCTTGAGAACTTTGAGGGCTCTCAGGAGCATTTGTCCCATGTCTCTCTTAGCTTCTTGTCACTGCTGCCCATCATTGGCTTGTAGATTCTGCCTCCCTCTTCACCTGCCATTCTCCCTGGGTATGTCTTTCCTTTTTTTAAAATAAGGGCACTGTGCATACCCTACTCCAATGACTTCATCCTAATAATGTCGTAATTATATCTTCAAAGACCATATTTCCAAATAAGGTCACACAGGACCAAAGTTAGAACTTCAAGCATGTCTTATGGGCGGTTGCAATTCAAACTGTGTCAGATTTTGCTCCTCCTTTGCCTCCTATTTAGTGAACGCTGTATCAAAAAGAAATTGGTTATATTGTAACTAATTGCAATATTTAGGTATTCAGTTACAAGTACCATTTGTTGGAAATGGACATAATTAACTTAAAGTATTTAGCAGCCGGAAGAAAGGCCAGTTCTAAAAATTAACCATTTTTCAGTGTATTTGTTAATAATGTTCTTTCTCTTTTCTTGGATTCTGCCCAAGTTTTTTGTCTAGACCAGCAGTATCTGTCAACATGTTTAAGTAATATGTTTTCTTTTACCTAAAAATAAAACAATGTAATAGATTTTAAAATATTGCGGTAATGATTACAGTTTTGAAGGACCTTTCTTTAAGCCACTGAAGTAGATATTATATTTGAAAATGCCAGACTCTGTCTTGCAAGTTTTTGTAAAGGTGTGTTTTTTTTTGTTTGTTTTGACTATTCCATTGTCTAACACCCAGGGTTTTATGAAAGACGTAATACTCATGGCATGACAGAAAATAGAATAATGCTTTTAAAATTTGCCTTGCACCTTAAAAGATGAGGCTTTCAGAAGGAAAACCATGACAGTTTTCTGCTTTGTGACCTTAGCTGGCACTTAAACTTTGTATTTTTAATTTCCATTTACTAAAGCTGGGAAAAATAATGAGTGTTATTTTCTGTTTGTGTTAAAAAATAGATTGTCTTTATTATTAGAATTGCATCTTATATAATGGGCATGATTTTGTTTTCTAGGATGTTGGGAATCTACATGGATACATTAAATATATTTATGCGAGTTGCAACCATGCTAGCAACTGGAAACAACAGAAAGAAATGAAGTGACCGCTTTTGGCTATGCTGCTCATCGGATACATCTCTTGTTGTGATAAGGGCAGATAGTCGTTTCAGTTTGAGGGCAGCTTTTCTTAAGGTTTAGAAAATAACCTGTCATTGTGCTTAAATGTTTCAGTAATATGACCCTTCAGGCCTGCCTTTTCTTTTAGAAAATAAATTCAATAGTTCTCTTCCAAATAGGCACATACATTTCCGGCTGTCAAGTTTGAGTAACTTAAAAATGCTTTCATGAATGTGGAAACTAAGATTTTTGTTAAAATTTAAGTATTTTTCAGATATTGGGCAAGTAAACGTTAGCAAATTTGTGTCTGCATAGTTGTGGGGGGTTGTGGAATATTGCAAGTAATGTCATAAGTGATTTTAGAGAAAGGTCAGAAGTGGCGTACTGTCATTCTGAATGCTTAGGACATAGTTGTGAGTGTGGCAAGCCAGAGGTCAGCGATATGAACACACAGGTGATCGCTGTTGATCCACTAGTCTGCGAAACAGGTGCAGGTGGGTCCTTCTGCTCTGCTCACTGGCCTTGGTGCTGATTGCTCACTGTCAGGATGGGCCATTCTTACTGCAATTATGTATGTATGAGATTTATCTGAGTCTTCTAAAACAAAATATCCTTAAACCTATTCTCAGGATAGCGTACTTCAAAGCATAAGAATGTTTATTTTGTGACACGGCAGCACGTCTGTGAATGTCTGGTTGAGCACATGCCTCCTTTTCTCTGAGCTTTGGCAGCTGTCAGGCAAGCCTGTTTGTGGCTCGTGCTGAGATTTGGAAAGCAGGTGTCTTCTAAACTGGTGGCTTCCAGCACTCCATCTCAGACTGAGCAGGAGATGGCAGAGCGAGTGTAGTTGTCTTTAGGGAATACTTGAATGGAGTGTAAAGGTAGCTCTTCATTAGGCCCCTTAGCATTTTCTCTCCTTGTGACATTTGTAAGTTTTTGACACAGATTATTTTTGGAGGTCTGCTGTGAATGAAAGTAACTGATTATTTACATGATTGGTATTTTTAAGAAGTATTTGTACAGTAAGCCAGAAGTAACTATTTTAACATCTCAGTGTACACAAGATCCTTATTTCTGAAATAATAGAAGTTCTAGCAAGATGGTGATTGCTGTATTTTTTCTACCTGAAACGTCCATTGGGGATTTGGTCAAGAAAGCAACTCAGGCTTCTACTGTGCAGCACAGTGCAGTGGTAGGTAGGACTTGAAGCTAATGCCTCTGTGTGGGTCTTAACTCAGTCCTGCCACTCACTTCACATGTGACCTTGGAAAAAAATCAAGTGACCCTTAACCAGTTCATCCCAGTTTCTGCATCTGTAATTTGAAGACAAAATCCACCCCATAGATTTGGGATGAAATGTGCAGACTCTGGCATCATGTTAAGTTTTAGCTGCTGGTGGTTTGACTTTTCTCTAAGTGAAAAACGTAAATGCCAGATTCCTTTCTCCACTTTATCCTGGTCTCCATAAAGTGTCGTTTTAAAGTGAAATCTTAAAGACTTACTGTTTTTAGTCACATTTTAGAACTGGAAGCTCTTTAGTTTGAGATGGTGTCACACAACAAAATGGTATAATTGCAACAGCAGTATCAGGTAGATAAAATCAAGGAATCTTGATTTTTGTGGGGCTTTTTATAAGACTTTATTTTTAATTATGTATATGTATGTGGGTATGTGCATGTGAATGCAGGTGCTTGAGACCAAAACCATTGGATCTCCTGGAGCTAGGGTTACAGGCTGGGGTTACAGTTGTGAGCTGCCCAACATGGGTGCTGGGAACAAGACTTGCATCCTGTCGTAGAGCAGAGTACACTCATTCCTGCTCAAGCATTTCTCTCCTGCTCAAGCATTTCTCCAGCCCTGTTTGTTTTTTTATTATTGTTATTACTATGTGGTGCAGGCATGTGAGGTCAGAGGAATCCTGCCATCTCTCCTACCATGTGGGTCCCAGGGATCAGACCAGTCATCAGGCTCAGCATCTCCTTTTAATTGCTAAGACAGTAAAGACTATGAAACATAAAAGTTATATAAAATGTGATTTGTTAGATAATAGTTCTAAAATGATGACAAGAAAAAAATGGTTTCCCAGCTCCCGTTAACATACAAGGTTACTTAGAAAGGTTTTGTGTTTTTATTTTGGGGTGTGGGGGGTTGGGAGGATGCAGGGCAAGTAAGTGCCACAGGGGCCCACATACTTAGGTTGTCAGGCTTGGTGGCAAAGCTCTTACCCTTTGGGTGTTTTTTTATTCTCTTTGAAAACATATATTTGCACAATGTATATTGATCATTTTCCATCCACCACTGCAACTCTCCCAACCAGGCTACCCCTCAACTTCATATCCTTTTTTTTTTATTACTAATCCTCTGAATCCAGTTAGTCCTGCCTATATATGGGTGTATGGTCATCCACCCCAAAGGAGAGTGACTCCCTAGGCAGCATCAGCAACTTCTCTTGTAAGGGAGAGACCCCTGGAGTTTTGCACTGGCTTGATACTGTGCTGGTAACCACAGTTGCTGTGCAACAGCCATGTCATGAAAGAAGCTTCTATAACCAACGTTGAGAGCAGCACAGATCCTTGTATAAACATGTAGATTGCAGTTTGACAGCATAACCATTTACCAAAACAATAGCATGATCGCACGTTACCATTGTGACCAGATTCAGAGCACCAGCTACAAAAACCTTGTGGATTAGGTCTCATATCTCATCGCCTTTTGGTTTCCCATAGCCATGATGCCACTTTGCACCAGTGGGCACATCTTGATAGCAGGTTATTATAGCATGCAGGGTAAAACCACTGATCCTCCTACTTCCCACCCCCCAGCCCCCAAGCAACATGCATAGCACCTACTGGTACTATGTAAACTAGCCAACAGGGAGAGAAATCTCCTGGTCGTTTCAAAGTTAATTCTCTATGTCCTGCATCCAAAGTGAGTGGTGTCTTCAGCAGTAGGGTTGTCAGCTAGCTGTGGTGAGCAACCAAGTGCAATGACCACACCTTATGTTTTGGGGGCTTCTCGGGCCTCTCCGACCAGTAACTTGTAGGGAAGTATCCCATGCCTGGCTCTGAGAGTTTCATTTAATAGCCCATGCCTTCTGGAAACAACATTGTCCACCCATGCAAGATACTTCTGTTCAAACTGTGTATGTATGTGAGCTCACAAACTGGTGGGTTTCCATAAGGCTTATGTAAACCTTTAGCTTGGGCTGACCTATCTCCCTACCCTCTCCTCTCCACAATGCCCCATCCCCACTTAAACTTTGAACCCTGAATATTCCCCCTCCCCTCCTTTCATGTCACCTGTTCATTCTCCTTTAACAATTTTTTCTTGGAAGACCATAAGTTTCCACATAGCATTTTCACGTACTCTTCATTTGATTAAGCCTTCCACCAACACAGTTCCTCATTCTCCACTCCAGGCTTGAACCTTCCTGCCCTCAGTATTCCTCCCTCTCTACTTTCACTTTACCTCTATTTTACCATCCTGAAGGTGTCCACCCCAAAGGACTCATTTCTAGTTTCCTGGTTTCCACATGCACTCCAGGTTAAACATACAAAACAAAAGATTCACAGCTAGGATTAACATAAGAGAACATGTGGCCTTTGTCTATGTACCATATTTTCCTTATCCATTCATCAACTAATGTACATCCTTGTTGATTCCAGTTCCTAACTATTGGGATTTGGGCCACAGTGACCACTATTCAGAATGGCCAAGATAAGAGTACAAATAATATGCTTTCAAGGAGGCAGGGAAAGAACTTGTACACTGTTGATGGGAGTGTAAACTACTGCAGCCACTGCAGAAATCTGTTCATTGCTGCCTTTACCCGTATCTAACAAAGACCAGTGAGATGGCTTAGCAGGTAAGGCATATGGTGCAGAGACTGACGACCTGAGTTGGATCCCAGGGACTCACAAGGTGGAAGGAGAGAAATGACCCCTGCAAGGTGTCCCTCTGACTTCCACATAATGCAGCAGTAGGAGCAACGCACACACACACAATTTCAAAAGGGAGGGGTTAGTAGACATTCAATGAGAAAATCCAAGTACCCTGTCCTGTATAACAAGCATCACACTGGCTGGACCCACCAGAAACTCATGAATAAAGTAATTGCTTCCTGAATCGTTAGCAGCTTGTTTGTACAGCCAGAGTTCAGGAGTTTTAATAGTGGGAACTGTTGAAATGCTTAGCAACTGAGTGCTGATTCAGAGATCTTCACAAGAAAGTACTAGCCATGCCCAGTTACATGCTGAAAGCATATTGAATAGACTGATCTCAGCGATGCAGAGTGACTGAGACTGGAGTATGATGGAAGTTGAGTTGGTTTAATGTGATCTGTTTTCAAGAATATGAAATCTGAGCTGGAGAGATGGCTCAATGGTTAAGAGTACCGACTGCTCTTGCAGAGGACCTGGGTTCAATTCCCAGCACCCACATGGCAGCTACGATCCATCCTTAACTTAAGTTCCAGGGGAATCCGAAGCCCTCTTCTGACCTCCACAGCATTGTGTGACATGGGTGCACTCACATACGTGCAGGCAATACACTCCTACACATAAAAACAAATTTTAAAAAATATGAAATCTGCTAGTTATGCTTGGCATATGAGGGGAGAGGGAACCTCACTTGGGGAACTTCCTCTCTTGGACTGGCCTGTGGGTATATCTGTGACGAATTTTCTTGATGAGTGGTGTAGGAGGGCCCAGCCCACTGTGGATTTTACACCCCTGAGCAGGTGGTCTTGGGTTGTATAAGAAAGCAGGCTGAGCACAGGCCAGAAGAGCAAGCCAGATAAGCAGCATTCCCCTGAGGTTTGTGCTTCATTTCCTGCCTCCAGGCTCCTGTCCTGAGTTCTTGCCTGGCTTCCCTCAAAGATGGACTGCCACTTGGAAGCACAAGATGCAATAGACCAATTCCTCCCCAAGTTGCTTTTGGCCCAAGTGTTTTTATCACATCAATAGAAACCAAACCAGTAGACCTTTAAGGAACTCTTGGTGCCACTATGGAGAGAAAAAGGTATGAGTGGACAGAAACATACCTGTCTAAAGCTGGCATCTAATGAGCAGGAGCCATGAGACCCCCCAGTACTGCCACAAGAAGGCAGGTGGCCTTGGCGACCTTGAAACACCATGCTTGTGGCAGAAACCTTCACTGGAGGTAAAGAATCCTGACAACACTCATCACCTTGAGTCACCAGAGATCAGCACAAGTGACTCAGAATCACACTAAAGGATTGGTATATCTATTAGGCACTCTTAATTGTTAAATCCTGGGGAATAACACTTAAATGACTCAATGTCATACAGAAAGGATTATCTACAGTAATTGCAACAGGAGTTAGTACTTTGGTGAGAAGAGCAAAGTCTGACCCTGTCTCCACAGCCAGCAGCATGAGTGGTGACCTACTTAGCTCCACCAGCAGGACCCTGGCCACATTCTGTGTAAAGACTTTGCTCACAGTAATGCCAGCTTGGATGTCTCAAGGCATCACTATAATCAGCTGCCTTCTTTAAGTAGACATGCTTTCTATAAAGCTGCAGAGAGGGCTAGCAAGATGGCTCAGTGGGTAAAGGAGCCTGGCACCGAGCCTGGTGACCTGAGTTTGATCAATGGGACTCATATGGTAGAAAAAGAGCCAACTCCAGCAAACTGTCCTGTGACCTCCACACAGGCACCTTGGCACATGGCACACACACGTGTGCATGTGCTCACACAAAAATGTAACATTAAAACTGCAGTAATGAGGTTTTTCACTTGTAAATTGAGTGGCAAAATTAGCATTTGATAAGAAAATGGGGATCTGGGTATCTTTTTTGGTTGGTTGGTTGGTTGGGTCCCCCCCCCAGATGGGCTCCTTGGAGCCCCAGCTGGCTAGAACTCACTGTATAGACCTTGTTGGCCTTGACCTCATAGAGATCCATCTGCCTCCCCTCCCAAGTGCTGAGATTAATGGTGCAAGCCACCACACCCAGCTTCCTAGGCAATATTTTAAAATGTCTGTGGAAAGTGGAAACCACTGAAACGATACAGGAAGCCTCAGACTTAGGAACCAGTGAAAAAGACCTAGGGAAGCCAAATGTCTCTAACCTGCAGTACTGAACTCAGCCCTCAGTCCCTCAGCTCCCAACACCTTGTCTACAATGACCTTGACTTCTCCAGCTGGGTTGACTTTACCCCAGGACTGCCCGGCTCCAGCTGCTTCACTCAAGCCACCTGTCAGCTGGTGGTGCTAGAGGTAGGGAAGCAAGGTGACGCCTCTCCTGGGAAACTTACTGCCAAATAGGCACAGAACAAACTCTAATAAGCAGAATCCACCCTGAGCCTTCTTACTGTTCTTCAGCCCCAAGCACTGGGAAGGGCAGTAAGCTTGGCATCCTGCTGCTCTGAACTCTCCTTCTTGCTGGTCTGACACTTGATCTATTTGTCCTTCACTTTCTCCATTGAAATCCACATGTGGAAGTTGTGTAAGTCTCCTGATAACAACT